ACAAGTTCAATTCTTCTTTACATATTTGGTAAACTTTCTGAATAATGTTATTAAATATCGATTGGTTTTTATTCAGTGGTACAAACTAGTTAATTTGACAGAAAATAAATTTTATTTCAGATTTAAAAATAGTGTAAATGTTGAATTGTGAAGTACCAAATTTTACCCAGTTAGACATGAATGTATAATCCCAATTCATAATATTTTTGATTAATTTATTCTATTTATATATAGAGATTCTCACGAATATTTAACTGTAATTTCTTTAAATCATAAATATAATATATAATTAAAATTCGATAAATTTGTGAATTTTGACAAATATCTAATGATTTTTTGAGGAAAATTTTAATGAAATATATAATAAAAATAATACAAATATAGCAAATAATGCCAAATTATATAGTAAAAATTGATTAACAATTTATTTATGCTGAATTGTATAGTAGAAATTGATTGATGATTTATTTATATTGAATTATATGCTGAATTATATGGTAAAAATTGATTTACAATTTATTTATGTTATTAATATGCTGAATTATTTATTTTTTTGATGAATATTATATGAGTAGTATTATACCAAATAAATATTTTTCAACTAGGGTATATTAAAATTCTATATCAATTTAATTGATAAAAAATAAATTATTGTTAAAATTTTAACAACTTGATAATTTTTTTTATTTGTTGTATTAGTATTATATAGTTTATTAAATAAATATTTAAATATTTGATAAGATTTTATAAAATTTAAGATTTAAAATTTAAATACCTTAATATATACTGATCAAAATTAATTAATAATAAATTATTTATTAAATCCATATTTATAGTATATAATAAAAATCATATACTATAAATATCAAAATTGTTATCTAAAAATTAGTATATATAATAATAAAAGCTTATTTAAATTAAATAAAAATTTTATTTTATGTAGAATTTATTATGAAAACCATGTTTACTTAAGTGATTATCCAATTATTGGATAATACTATATATATACTGTATATATAGTATATGATATATATTAGTATATCATCAACTTTTTCTACTGATTCTCTAACTACATACAAAAAAGATGTTCGCAAGAAGGTTTTATACTTCTAAGCTAATAAAGTCTTACTACTCTTTTTAAACCAACTTAAAGAAACTTCAAGAGTCATCAACTACTTCCTCTTCTCTTGTTTACTATCCTTTTTAAACAAAAGCTTGATCTTTAATGACCATAAAAGTCAAGAAAAACCTTTCCTATCAATGGCAAAAAAGTTCTAAAAGGAAAAAGAACTAATGTGCCATCATTTCACACTATAGAGAAATATCACAGAAGTTCTATGATAATAAGAGACAACTTTTCCACTTTCTTGTCATTTGTTTAGCTTCTTATAGTACTCATTCTTGGTTTTTTCTGGGGAATTTTGCCTACCTCAGTTTGACCTTGAATTTTAAGTAGCACAAAATTTCTTACACTGTAATTGTACAGATAGAGCTCACATTAGTAAAAGAATATAAACAAGCTCCCATTGATCACCTTACATGTCTGAATGCATTTTCTCAGTTTTATAAGAACCTGGAGTCCATCATAAGTCATTAGTCAGATGTGGGTAGATATAGGACACTCCTCCATTTATATTATTGGTTTTTTCAAGAAAGAGTCTGTCTAACTATGATAAAGGTTACAAAATACTATAACTAGGTTTTATGGTTGTTTCACCTACTCCTGGTCACTGAATAGATTCCTTCTTCAACTCTGTCGAATAGATAAAGATTTGAAGATAGGGCACTGGTTCCTCTATCAATTCTTTGGCTTAGCTTTTAAGGATACAGAAAATGAAATGCATGAATAGTGGCCTTTACTGCATTGTCATATGATAAGGATCAATGAAAATGGTCTATGGATTGATCTACTGGTATCAATACATATGCACCTACCCCTAACCTCTTCTCATTTTTAAATAAGATTGAATCCACCTTCCCTTCCCCTATACCTCCTCGAGAAAGTGACTTAGTAGTTATTCTAAAAACTTCCCCTTCCTATTGAGCATTAGTATCTTACTCCCGTATATGATCTGTACTAATGTTTTGGGAACTTCCACAAGGGAGCACAAGTCGACTATCAAAGGCAATAGTTGAGATTTCTATATTTTTCATGAACCTAGGTAAAGGTATCTGAAACACAACTGATATTGTACAAAAATTATTGGAGGATTTAAAATATGATCAAACCACACACTGGTGTTTCCACTATCATATATGAATGGGTATTTGACACTATCTAAAGACTTTTAATAAATATTCTGAATGAAATTTTCTTCCCCCTGAAAAAGTCGCATAGTAAGAAATTGTATATATAGATTAACTATCTCATCCACTCATTTATTTTTCAACCTTTCTTCTTTTCCCTTATAAAAATTTTTTCAGCATTAGTGGCCCTTTACTAGTTCTTACTTCAGAGACAGCAACATGCCCGAGGTTAACCAGTATAGTTATATCACAGCTTTTAGATTTACAATTATATTTTTAATATATATTATATTGACATTTAAAAATTATATCTAATAAAGTAAAGGTTGAGCTGGCATTAAAAAAAAAAAAAAAAAAAAAAAGATATATATTAGTATATATTTAAATACTATACAGTCTACAATTGTTTAATAAAGTACACACAGCTAGCCTGAAAAAGGGTTATAAAAAAAAAAAAAAGTATATTTAAATACTGGCTCAATTTGTTATAAATTTATAGTTAAATTATAGATATAGCATATTATTAGTCTACTTATAAATAAAAAATTCAATAGAAATAGTTTCCTAAAAGGAGACTACTCATTTTATGACTTGGCATCACTCCTATAGAGAGAGCTAACCTGCCAAGGCTGGGCTATTGCTAAAGGAAATTTCAAATATGTGAAAGTCCGCTCACTTATCACGCGAGTCAAATGATATAATGTGTTCAAAGTAACATAACTTTTAGTTATTAATTGATTGGATCTGCTCTTTATTTTTAATTGGTCAATTAATCGTTTTCTATTTTGCAACCAACTCTTATATGATATTATGCTACTACTTGTTATACAGTATTGTACAGGTAAGTAAAAAATTGAAGTGTTAAAGGGGGGTTTTTTTTCTTATTCTAGTATTATATTTTTTTTAGTTCAGTGCGATAAATTGATTAATTTATTTGTTTATAAAGAAATTCTTTTAAATATTTAATCGATACCGTACTTTGATTTTTATATTAAACATTAATTTGTTTATTCGACACGAAAGAGTTCTTGTTAAATAAAAAATGTTTTATTATACGATCTGATGTTAATGCTTAGTTAAGATACAAACTTTGGTGCGTACTATACATTTTTAAAATAAATTTCGTTTAAAAAAATGTTTGATGATTATATTAAAGCGGGACCTTCATTCCAACATCGATGAGATCATCGACTGGAATATGCCAAGTCCCGTGTATTTGACGTGAATTGGTTGCAATGAAACGATACCAAGCTATGAAAACATTCCTCCACCATGGCGAATTTTCTCTCGAAATAAACGAAGGCTGACTTATAACATAGGTGATAACTTCTTTTTCGTTATTTCTTATGCTTGTTTTTGTAGGATCAGAAATACTTATTGCGTTCACCAATCTTGATATAAACTGGTCACCTTGATCAACAGCCTCCATGTAACCGTATCTTGCGATTGCCTGATACATACCTTCATAATTCCCAATCTTTTGTACAACCAGTCGATCCTCTTCCCCGACGATGGGAACGGCAACTGGCCGTATTGTGATGAAGACAACAATTTCGGGGAGAGATGGAAAATGTTCAACAAAATGACTAAATGACAGTGGAACTCCCATGCCAGCTTCTCTATAAAAGAGTCCAATCCCAGGGAGACGGTTCACCGGGAATTTTGTATCCAAAAGACGAAGTTGAGGTCTTGTAAGTTCATCGATTTCCCCATCGTCCTCTTCCAATCTATTTCCATGGCCATTTAAAGTTTTTCCGTCAAATATATCACCAAGCTTAGTCTTGTGACTAAGTTCAAATTCGATTTTGCGAGTTGTTCCCCACTTCCACAACATCATGACAGAACACAGTATCACGGCAACAGATAAGGTAAACCAACCGCCGCTTACGACTTTTAATAGTGTCGCACTCAGGAAACACATGTCGATGAATCCAAATAATAAGAAGAAACCAACTGCGAGGTATACCGGAAGCTCGAAGACAACGATCATGACGAATGCGTAAAGAACCGTGGATAAAAACATGACACTACTGACGGCCACACCTAACAATATGGTTGAGGTATAATATTAGAGAAAAGAATAGAATAATCAAGCAAGTGAAAATTCTTACTCACCATAAGCTATGGTTAGATTTGCAGCAGTCTAGACAAACGAAATCGCGTTGATTCAATGTTTCAAAAAAAAAAAAAAAAAGTGGTAGAAATTATGGAATACCTGAGCTACAATGACAACAAGCACAATTCCAATCATTAGGAGGTAATTGATCTAAAAGAGAATTAAGTTTGAGCTTCGTTCTTAACGAAAATTAAATTTTCATTATAAAATTACCTCCGGAACATAAATTTGACCCGCGACTTTCTCGGAAGTGTGTATAACCTTTTAAACAAACCGTTGGTTAGACTCGGTAATATTACACTGAAAATTATGTTAGACAATAATAATACCTTAACTCTGGGAAAACAGTCCAATTGCATTGCTTGATGAAGTAACGAGAAGGTGGCCGAAATCATAGCTTGAGAGGCGATAATGGTGGCGAGAGTAGCCAGGACAAATGAAATCCAATACGTTGGTCCATTGATGTCAGGCAAACTATTCCAAAAGGTGTTAGAAATTATCGTGGGATCTAAGGTAAGACGGGCTGCTTGTCCACAATATGCCAATATCAAGGGTGGATAGGTGAAACATGGGAAGGAAATCTGAATAGCAGTGCGATTGAAATGGCCCAAATCGGCAAACATAGCCTCAACACCAGTGATGGCTAAAAGAACACCACCAAGAACTTGGAAACTATCACTGCCATTCCTAATGAAGTAATCAATGGCGTAATAAGGATTGTAGGCTTTCAATACGGATGGATATTTCGAAATGTTCCATATTCCGATCGAGGCAAGGGAAATGAACCAAAGGCTGACAATAGGTGCAAAGAGAACGCCAACTCTTTGCGTTCCGAGACGTTGTCCCAAGAATAATACAATCAATATGGCACTATTTCGAGAAATATTTTGAGGAAGGGTATTGCATCGTTTGACCTATTTTAATAAATTTAAGATCGCACAAGAAACTTACCAACTGATAGGGACAACAGCATTATTCAAGACCGGTGCCGGAATTGCAATGCCTTCGACAGCGGAAATTACAGATATGGCAGGTGTGAGCAACCCATCGCTTATTACCAAGGAAGTTCCGAATAAAACGACGACAATCAAGATTCTTTGCAACAATCTACTGCGCTTTATAAAATTTGGCTGTTCCTTGGTAGCACTTTGTACCGAAATTGCATCATAATTCGTAATTGTTAAATCATCAATGCGGTTTTCACCTCGAATAGATAATCCCGAGTATCTGGAAAGTCGATAAATTGATGTTTGAATCATTTTTTAAATGTGCGCGACACGTGATTACGAAACTTACCGACTTAACAACGAGTACAGAGCGAAGGTACCACCTTCGCCATGATCGTCAGCCCTCAAAATGATAAAGACATATTTGAGCAACGGTACTATGGTCTAATTCATAGAGAACGATATTTTATTCGTAATGAATTATCAAAGGAAAGATGAATTTCCATTTAAATCTTTGATCTATATAAGTACGAACTCACTAACCAAGGACCAGATAATCAAAGACAAGGCGCCTATGAGATGAATTGGGTGAATGACATGTTTTGGTCGGCAAATGATAAAAAAAAAAGGTGGGTGACACGGCAATTTATCTTACCGAGGGTGTCTTCGGCAGATGGTGGTTTCGTAGGATCCGGAAAAATACCGGTATACACATACAAAGGTGAAGTACCAATGTCACCATAGATGACTCCTGAAAAATATGATAGAGATGTGAGCTACGAAAATTGCGTCAATTACTTGGGCGAAAATGAGAGTGAAGTTTACCGATTGACTGGAAGGCCAACCACATAGTCCCTCCGAATCCAATATTCTATGAAAATCAACTGAAGGTCAACAAATTATATAGTGTAATTCTCTCTCTTGGTAAAATAGTACCTTCCGAGACTCTCGATGCTGGTGTTCCATGTCTAAATCAATGGAGGCTTTCTCGTTATTCTTGTGATCGACCATGTTTTCTTGAACCCTCACATTAAAAAGCAATAACAATAATAACAATATTATTATCCCTTTTTCTTTCTACAGAGAAAATGGGATAACTTCACGAACAGTTTTCCAAGTATAATTTATATTAGAAAATGGATCGATTGATAGCGGCCGATCAGATTCTGAGCAGAAAGTCGATTGTTCTACAACATTAAAAGCTTTTGCCCGATATAATCCGATATCTGTTAATCAGAAAAAAATTTTTTTTTTAAAAAAATACCTGTACCAGGGATCTAAGATTAAATTACGCCCCTACAGTTTTTAAAGTGCGTCAAATTTCTAAAAAAAAATAAACACATGCCAACTTGTAAAAAAAATATAAAAATATGAGATTGGAGATTGTGTATGTGATAATACTGTCGCAATACATGATTTTCTATTTATGCGCATTGCGCATTCATTTTGTCAATCATTCATTTAAGTCTGTCGATGTGAATGCAAAAAAAAAAAAAAATAGAATTTAAGTTTATTACATAATTCAAGTTATGAATTGCCAAGAAAAACATCACCTATCACAACAGGATCGATATACCGTTTTCAAAGGAATGTTGTTTATTGTACAAATATGGTTGAGATTAACCTGCTACAAATCTAGTCATTTTCATTAATTAAAGATGTCCAGCTTTAATAGGATTTATCAATTGATTACAGTTTTCAAAAAAAAAAGATTCCAAATCTCAAGAAAATGGTTCCCCCCTGACTAAGACGTACAAAACTTTATTACTAAACCAAGATGTAATTAGAATCACATTTTTACTTCGATGGGTTCCTGTTACTAAGAATTACCGAGTTCACTTCGATTTCCGGCGAAAAATCTCATTAGATTCAAGCAATAATGGATATGTGCATCTGAATTTTTTCATGGATTTTATGATATGATGAGTTATTGGAAACACAGTATATATCATAATATTATTGACATTTAGATTTTTGTGTGATGAGAATCGGTGTTAGGTGCGGCGATTTTGTAGTATACAATTCAAGTGCGGATGTACGTACGCTACACCTAACACTGACGGGGAACACCTCCTACGACACTGATTTTTAGAAAAAATCTGGCTGATTAAATTGCGCAATAGATTTGTAGCTCGTAAATCAAGGTTCCGTACAACCCAACCTCTCAAAATTTTGCTCGATCATGTATGTAACTCAGGTTTCGCGCAAAAAAAAAAAATAATAATAATTTTTTTGTGTAGTCAAAGTTTCGCGTACGTACTTATGGTTAATCCGTTATAACGAGGATGAATGTAGTTTTATTGTATACAATATTATTTTACTAAAATTTTTATTTAGAATATCTTGCCTTAAACAATTACTTATTAATCATTTTGTTTTGTTCACTTGTAATTTAATATAACCAATACTCTTTAAGTAAGTCACTGCTTAGTACGGTTGTTTGTATGCAATGTGACCGGTGCGTCTAGTATTTTTTGAAGTGGTTTTTTTTTTTCGTTCGGAATGTCAATAAAAAGTTAATGTTACCTCCGTAGAGATGGATTGGTGCTAATTATCAGAAAATTCCACTGGAATGCCTTAAAATGGCTATTGGTATGCCAACTAAATTGAGGTTAAAACGAATAAACATAAATATTAACCGATATGGAATATGGGCTACCACCATCAGGTGGAATTGGGCTGAAATATTATAATAAATCTGAATATAATCAAAATAAATAAATAAACAGACAAGTGTATGGTTCGAATTTAATGTATATTGTTGACTCCAGTCCATTTTTTTTAATGAAATGTGAAAACTCATGGTTATCGACGAATTGTTAAGTGTCCAAGTATCCATCCATATTGCGGTATTGGGTTATCAAGAAACAAAATAATGCCTAACGATTGTTTCTTGCCGTGAAATATCACCAATGAGTTCTTTTGCACAGAATTTCTGCCCGTAGCACAGAATGTGATGATTGAATATGATGAATTTATGTGATGCATGCATACAGGCTTGCATTTTTTTTTTTTTTTTTTTTTTTAATCAGCTGACGAATCGTCTAACGGGAGAGTTTGTAGGTTGTGCGTGCATGGCGCTATAAGATGCGGTACACAACACAACGATGTTAAATGGATCCTATGAAATTTTGACAGATAATACATAAAGAAAAGAATATCCTTGATGCGAATTCGCTCTCTCTAATATTGCCGGATATGGTTAAATTGTTTATTTTTATTTGCATCATCTATAACATATTTTAAGGGGTTGGGCTTTATTTTGGATCCATAATTGTGTTGATGTGAAACTCGCAATAATTTTGGGAGTTTTCGCGGGCAAACCATCCACAATCTGACACTTAAAACGCGTTAGATAGATTTTTGTCCAATAAATATCATTTCGGCAAAAGAACATTCCATTCTCGCTGTGCTCCTATTTC